GGGGGGGGCAGGGCACCGCCGCCATCTCGGGGAGAAGTTTTTTTCGACGATATCGTTTTTCGACATTGTTGGTTCTTACCTCGTTAGCGCACGAAACGAAAGTGGGCATGAAATCGACCTTTTCGCGACAGTCGACATCCAAAACGACATCGACTTACGGAATCAAACTATAGTTTATTTCGACTAACGGAGGAAGAAGAACAGCGGGTAGAACATAAACGTTACCGATTGGCCGAGAGCTTCCCGCCTCTACGTCACGCCGGTAGTGGGGGAAGCGCTCGGCCAATCAGGAACCTTCATGTTCTACCCGCTTTTCTTCTTCCTCCGTCAGTCGAAATACACTATTGACTGGGTCGAAACGTCGAAAAACCTCTCACCACATGGAGCTTGTCGGTGTTCTGTCGGCCGAGAAAGAAAATCTTGTAAAGTTCGCTCTTTCAGCAGAGCGTGGGAGGGCAAGGGGGGGGAGGCGGAGAAGGGGGTAGCGACCAACATGCGGGGTGCCCCGCATTTTGCCGGGGTGGCCGGAGTAATAACCGTACGGGGCTTTAGCCTTTGCGCGTTCCATCGCGCAAGTGGCGATTAGAGAAACAGTTTGTTCGTCTCTGAAAAATGTGGAGGATGATAGGGCCAATAAGTGCGATGACGAGTAGATCTGACGTTATACTTTCCCCTTGTCCTGTCCACAGGGTCCCGGAGCAACATGCAGCAGCACTGCGACCGCAAGCCCTTCAGCTCGTCGCCCATGGTGCCCGGGCTGGGCCCGCCCCCGGGCTCTCCGCAGGGGCTCGCCGTCGGGACCGGCGCGTCCACGGGGCCCGGAGGGCCGCTCACCATGTCCTCGGCGGTGCCCAGCACACTGCCCTCCCCGCCCGCCGCGAACACCGCTCACATATTCTACGACTCCGTCAAGTACTCTACAGCTTCGTGACAAAAACACCCCCCTGTGTGTGTGTGGACTACCTATATAGTTACGTGTTAAGTTGAGTTTGAAACAATAACTCCCAGTGAAATGCCTGCGATACGCTAGTCAGATAAGTGGTTGACGAAACGGCACAAGGTGTGCCAAATGTATTTGTAAAGTTTGATGTAAAAAGTTGAAAAATAATACAAATTTGTGAAATGTCGAAATGATTCTTGTGCCCGTGCCTTATTTATTACAATATGCCTTTACATAGAAAATCAATTACTGAAAAATCAACACAACACACACACACACAGATCCGCACACGCTTCTTTCGAGATAAATTTTCAGACGAAGAGACGGAATAGTTGGGAGAGAGAGGGGGAAATGAGGGGAGAGTGGGGGAGTGCAGAGGGGAGATGCCTTCCGGTCCGGCCTTTACTGCTCGCGTTATTTTCGTCAAAGCCTTCTGGACAGCGTCACGCTGACCATGCATCAGTTGAGTCGCACTCTTTCCCACTCCTCAGAAAGTTTTTTGGCGCATGCCTTTTTATTTTTCTCTATGATAATCCTGCTGCACGCGAACTAAATCTTATTACAAATCTTATTTAACTTCGTCATCCTGATGCCATTATTTCGTTACAGTAATTTTAAAAAGTAGATCATACATATATTTGAGAAGAGGACTGTGTTCTTATTCTCTCTCATGAGAGATAAATGTGCACATTTAGAAATGTTCGGCTTGCAATCCGATGACCTAGCGTCGTACACGACGGGAGAGAGGGAGAAGGCAGAACGGGGGAATGCCCCCCCCCCCCCAGTACTGTTGGGTATATTCGGGGTTGTCGGGCTGGTGCTGGTGGGCTGGTGCTACAAGAATGGCAATGGCACCACTAGTTGGGGTTTAGCGACAAAAGGCGACAGCGACACATTTGGCCGCTTTGTAATTTTTGACTTCTGCCCTATGCCTTCCGCCGACACTAGAAGCATTCTGACATTTAAGTGTCATGTCATGTGCTCATTAGAATAGATCAAATCGTTTTAAATTATCATCTGCTCAGGAAGAAATTAATGTTCCACTGCAATATTGCTCACCTACCCCAGTTGCGTCAAACACATTAAATGCGCTTCAATGCGCGTAGAAATGCACATACCAGGTGGCTGATTCACGACGCGCACTTTCGTAGTTATACTGTACCGAATACACGCGACCGGGTGGGTTGCCTACTCGCACGGAGCCAGAAGGAGCCGTGGGCAGCGACGATAGGCAAACCCGCCCGCACACGTGGATGCGGTACAGTATAACTACTAAGGTGCGCGGCGTGAATCAGCCACCTGGTATTAAAAGGTGACATTAGTGACGCTTTTAAGGTGACACAGGACTGAAACTGGCATAAAACAGGTATTTCAAGTTTAAAATCTAAATGCCAATTAAATGAAAAAACTCTCTCTCCAAAGCAATTTAAGTTAGTTCATTGCGGTTCTTTTAAGGTATAGTATGCCTACGGTTGAACGTACTGTGTGCGCAGGAAGCTTTTTAAAATTTAATAAAGTTATGAAATTTTAAAAAGCTTCTTGCGCACACAGTTCCGTTTATCTAAGGGCTTACTATACCTTAAAAGAACCGCAATGATCTAACTTAAATTGCTTTGCAGAGCGTTTTTTTGATTTAATGTGCATCTCTATTTTAAACTTGAAATAGCTGTTTTTCCCAAATTCTTAAGTTTCAGTCCTGTGTCACCTTAAAGCACATCACAGTATTTAATGCGCATTACGCGCATTTAATGCCTCACCAATGTGTCACCTTTTATGTACATTTCTATGCGCATTGAAGAGCATTTAAGCATGTAGGAGAGCTCACAGTGAGCGCTCACTATACTTGCAGAACTTTTTATTAGCACACCCACACATTATTTTCTTTGGTTTGCAGCGCGCCTGATTTGAATCGAGCGCGTCTCTTAACTAGAGGGCAGCACCGTCCTTTTTGTATACTTTGCCTCCTATTGGTCTAGCCCCAAAACGCTCCGCCTACATCCTATCAGCGCACTATGCAACGGTTTCGTGGGACATTCTCGTACGAGATGAACTATACATTTCGCCCTGTCATCCGTCGATTCTCATATCCGCTTCGATAGTGCTGTAGGAAGGCTGTAAACAAAAAGTAACCTCAACTCTACTGTACATGTACAATTGTAGAATTTTATGAAGTTTCAATCAGCATCCGGGTATTTTACGTAATCATGTTGGAAGCTTATCGATGATGACCTCACCAGCTATCTATTACATTTAGTGAAGTGCGTATTGTCAGAATAATTTTTTACCAATCCCTCTTGGATGATAGATATAAGTATAGAAGGTTAGCCTTGAACGCTCATCAGCTCTTATTTGTTATTACAAGATTTATTCATCTATTATGGTAAGGTTTATTCTTAAGTTTGTCTTTTAAAGCCCCTCTAGTGCCTAAAAATTGACATCTTGAATTATTTAGGCTATCCTTCTCGTTAACCTACACGTCTAGATCTGTCTTGCCTTTCGTATCGTCGCAGGCCCTACCCACGCCCTGTTTTTTTCGTGTTTATGTTACAATATTGTTTTTCCTACAATTCCGCTTTTCGCGTTTTTGTATACACATTCTTATCTAGTTAATGATATTTGTGTCTCTCCTATTACATTCTGTGGTAAAGACCATCATTCCATTTCTGATTCAAAGGACATCTCAAAATTTGTTATCTTATCAGGAAAAGCTTATTTCATTAAAAGTTTTGCTTTACATTAATTTTACAGACTATGCATTTAATTTGATTGACGTTTTGGTGCAAGAAAGGAGCATCATGGTTAGCGACACACAACCCTCCTCCAGTCTCTTGTCCCCTGAGGAGAATGAGACGGTGGCTCGGTTACTGGGTGAAAAATGTGTGGTACGTTTCTCCTTTTTATTTTCAATATTTATTTCAATGTTTTATAGTACTCTTTTAAAATAAACTTTTACTTTCTCCACAGAATATGGTCATGTCAGTAGTTCAAGTTTTCCAAACCACCCCACCAGATCATGGTTCTTGGAAGAAGCAAGATGCTGGTGTATTGGTTCTGGTTAAAGATAATGGAAAACGTTCATATTTCTTCCGTTTGTACTGTCTAACTCGGCGTGCTCTCGTTTGGGAACATGAACTGTATTCAAATATGGAACAACATTACAATACACCTAAACCATTCTTTCACATGTTTGAAGCAGAGGTAAGATTTCTGTAATATATTACATGAATTTTAACTTTAATACTATGTTACTCTTGGAGAATTTGAAGTCATTTATTTTTCTTTACTTTTCAGGATTGTGTGACGGGCTTCAATTTTGCAGATGAGCGGGAAGCAAATGCAATGAGCACTGCATTAAAGGAAAAAGCAGCTAGGAAAAGGAGTAGACAAGGTTAGTTTGCAGTAGTCTCAAATAGTGCTTTCACATTTCTACATTTCTTAAGTGGCGAAATCTGTTGGTACAAAAATCTATTGTTTGAAACAGAGAAGAAAAGACAACCTGAAAGACAAGCTGTACAAATTACCAACACAAGCAACCATCTCTCTTCACAACTCAGTTTGAGCACTCCTCAACTTTCGAATGGATCAACAACTGCATCAACTCACTACAGAACAGCAAAAGGTATGGAAATATTTAATACTAATGTCGATTACTAGAAAACGGCATTTCTATTCCACCATTTCTATTGCACATCACAAGATGGTTATAATTTAGAAAAGAGGTATTTCTATCTATTGTTCCCAACATTGTTTTTATGACATGACTTGTTCTTCTGAAGCATTCCTGGAGCTTGCAGGAGGGTTTATGGGAGGTGAGCTTTCCCACAAGAGCATGTATACTCGTCCTCACATTTTCAGTTTTCTCTCTAAATTCTAATTGTTAAAAGGAGATATAAAAAAATTGCACATTATTACATGTACAAGTGTGTAGACTTATCAGAAGCAGAGTGTAATTTTTAATCTGTGTAGTGAGCACATTACATGGGCTCATTGGTTGCTTTGGGAGGTACAGTGAATCTCACTTATATCGGAAATAAGTTCAGGCAATTTTTGTATTGTTTTTGATATATTTGTTTAGAGTAATGCTGTGCTGAAGCCATCCTATCTGTCGTGACACAATGGTTTTCCTAGACATTCGATATCAGTGGGATCACAATGACACCTCTTCTTTTTTTCTTCTTTTCTGTAGTGGTCATTGAAATTTGCTATGGATTTCAGATTATTTTATTGCATGAGTTTACAATAGTAATTTTCATTCAAATACCTAGCTCAGATATTTGAATTAAGGGAACAGTTCATGAAGACGTCATCTGGTACAATACATTTTGCTTTATCTTGTCACTCAATTTCTAAAACTGAACATTGTTTCCAGCTGTTAATTATTCTAACTGTGATGTTTATCTCACATTTTATTTTTTCTGATTTTGCATAAGTTTTAGGTGTCAAATTTTTAATTTTTAAGAAATTAATTTTTTGAGGCTGTTATCTATTTATTTGCCTGTGTAGTGATGTTTTAGACTGAACTATTATGAGTGTTTGCTGGTAGGACTCAATAGTGGTAGAGTGGTGATTCCTTCGTACCCTAGGAAATGTGTGTATAATACAAGTTCTTTTTTCTTATCCTTTCTAGGGAAAGATAAGAGAAGAAGAGAGGGAAAGAAAAAAATATCGAAAGCTGATATTGGACATCCTCAAGACTTCAAGCATGTTTCGCATGTTGGCTGGAATCCAAACACTGGCTTTGACATCGAAGGCGGTGATGATGGGATAGACCCAACTTTAAAGGAATTTCTTGACAAGGTTTGTAAGATTTGAAACATTTGAATACTAATGTGTGGTTTTATTTTGATCCCAGTTATTAAAACATCTTGAATGGTTTTACAGGCTGGCGTATCTGAAACTCAAATGCAAGACAAAAATACTCGTGAATTTATTTATGATTTTATAAAAAATCATGGTGGAATAGATCGAGTAAAGAATGAGGTCCAAGTTACTGCCGTACCGCCACCTCCTGTACCAGCACGAAATGCCCCCACAAATTCTTCAATCCGCACTGCTCCTCCTCCTCCTCCTCCCCCATCAAGAACTCAACCACCACCCCCTCCACCACCCTCTCAAGCTTCAGTACCAGCTCCAGGTCCCCCTCCTCCTCCTCCCCTCAGAACATTACCTCAGCGACAAGATTCTACTAAAGGTGAGAAAATTTGTTGTTTTTTTAAAAATAAATTGCCTTACATCTTTATGCATTGAACCATCTACCATTTTCTTTTCTTTATTTTAGGAGCTCCCACACCACCCCCACCCCCACCTCCGCCTCCACTGCAGACCATGGCACCACCTCCACCTCCACCAGGAGGCATGCCTGCTCCCCCACCTGCAGTTGCTGCAGCCCCTGCCATGCCTGATCATCGTTCTGCCTTAATGGATGCTATTCGATCAGGGAAAGCTCTTAAGGTTTGTTACTTTTACTGCTACCTACTTGAAAGACAGTGTACATTGTACATTATGGTGTGAAAGGGCTATTAGATATCTAATCTATAGATCTAATTTTAATGTATGTTGACTGTCATTCCAGCATGTTGTTGTTGAGGAGAAAAGTCAAAACGGAGACTCTGAGGATAGTAGAGGTAAACTCATGGACCAGATCAGGCAAGGGAAGCAGTTAAAGGCGGTAAGTACATCATCCAAAGCAAATCAGAAAAATTTCAGGGACACAAGTACTGTTTTGTATCAAAATTGCCCTCACTCATCCATTTGTGTTACATCTAAGTCACAGCACTTTTATGGTAAAGGTAATGAAGTATGTGGATTTAAAACAAAAATTGATTTGGAAGCTGATGGAGACACAGAATTTGTTCACAACAGTACCTTTTCAAGTGATGAATCGTATAATGAAACTGAGATCTATGAGAATCTTGCTGATTCTTCAGGGTCTTTTTCTGCAATCGGTTCTGATTTGAAATGTGAACACATTTATATTAACATCCAGAATTGTGACGAATCTTCCAAGCTGTGTAATGAACACGTAACTGAAAGTTTGGAGGCCTGTAATGACAGTAATTTGACAAAATGCAAAGTAAAATCAGTTGAAAGTGTGTATTACAGTTGGCAAAATTCGAAAAAGACGCCAATATTTTTAAAACTATTAAAGTATCTACTTTATCTTTTTATGCAAATTGGGGTTATTTGGCTTTTCCACTGGAACCTATTGTTCTTATTCCCCTACCCAACCTCTGTCATCGTCCTTATCATTAGTTTAGGTGTTTTTTGTGCGCTACTTCTTAGTCTGAGTCTAGTGCCTAACTGCTGCTATTTCTGATTGTTCTGGATGGATTGAAAACTTGTAGTTACAACTTTGTAGTTATCTATGTACGCTAGTTGTATCCACACCAATTTAGTTGTTCAGAGACTAACATCAAGCTATATGCAATGCAAGCTTAATTTGGGAGGGAGTGGTTACTAACTGGTGGTCGCTTTTCTAAACCATGGATTTTGATTGATCAACATGATTGTGTCATATGAGACTGCCCTCTTAATTTTGATTTTCAGTTCATGCAACTTCACAAAATATCAGTTAAATATGCACATTTCAGCAAACTGGAAAAAAACAACTACAGTATAAGCTCGATATAGCGTCAGTGGATGTTGCTCGAAAAAACCGACGCTAAACGCGGAATGACGCTAAAAGCGGCGGAATTTGTTAGCGTTTCCTACATCGGTTGTTCGGAAAAACCGACGCTAAAAGCGGCATGACACTATAAACGACGACGCTATACCGAGCTTATACTGTACCTGTTGGTTGCTTGCAGTTGATAGTTGGTCATAGAGAACACCTTAAGTTATGACTAGCATATGTGACCAGTAAATCCAAAATACATGGTTTCTGGAAAGTTGGGGCATGTTCATATCACTCTCCATTCTGTAAAAGAGGTGCAGCTTAAGTTGTATAAATCGGGTTGTAAATGTGCCCAAGAGATAACATAGCATTAGAAGTTTTCAGTTTTTATGCATCCATTGATGCTTTTTATCTGCCATTTCAGGCATTGCTTATTCATTTTCAATTTGATAGTATCATTACTATTTCCAGTTTTTTTTCTTCTTAGAGCATGATTACTAGTTGATACAATGTATTATTGATGTAATATATACTACTGTACACAGTTGAGCATTTCCTTTTTTTTTTTTTTTCTGTTTCCTCTGCTTTTTAGTTTTAGTGTACCATCTTTTTTAAAAAATCCCCTTGATGTGTTGATCTCAATCAAGCTTGTCTATCAGCTTCATCCTCATGTTCTGCCTGGGTCAATTGGTTCATCTTGCTGGAGTCAACTGAAAATTGGCTTGCTTCTCATCATAATCATGTTGAAGCTTTATTTCACCTCCCTTCTATTTCCCTCTTTTGTGTGTGTCCCAATCCGTGCGCTTAGGGCTTGTAGAATCGCTTATAAATCTATTGATGAAATCAGTCTTCATTTCAATTTTTGTAAACATGTATTTAAAATAAAATCTTTTGTCATGCTTCTTATCTAAATTTGAATAATTATCACAACTCCTATCTTTACACTTGCTTTGTTATTAACTGTATATCTCTAATAGGTAGAGGTAACAACAAATGAAAACAAAAAATCTTTACTGCTATGTGGGGCTTTCAGGTTGTACCAGCCCCTCGTCCTTCGCCTTCAAATTCCATGCCATCTGACTCGCTTGCTGGAGCCCTTGCAAGAGCCCTTGCACTCCGCTCAGGGGCCATTCAAGGTGATTCAAGTGAATCTAGCAGTGCGGAAGAGGAAGATGAAGATGATGATTGGGAGGACTGAACATGCATCGAAAGAAGATGAAAACGCATTATGGAAGATTAGAACATATAGTATCTTAGAAAAAATATTCCATTGCAATTTTGAGTAGTTATCAAAATGTTTTATGAAAAAGCAATTGAAATATCTGTAACTAATGTAACTGTAGTTTGTTTTCCTAGTCACAATAATGGGAGTTCAAGATCAAATTTTGAAAGAAGTATCTGTTGCTCTATTAATTTTAGTCAGGATGGAAATTTTTGTAGCACAGACCCATAACCAAAAGGTGGTGGTGTAATTTTGAAGCCAAATTTCTATGACAAAATTGTGTAGCTGAGATATTCAGTTAAGCTTTGAACCATCACACTTTTGATGCATAAAGATTTATTTTTTTAAGTCTTGTATTACTTTGACTGTTATTTGTTGTCTTGTTTATAAGTCCTCATTAGGTATTAATGTAGCAAATATTTTTGTAAAAGTGATAATTTTATTGTGTTATCCTGACATAATCAGTGCTTGCAGGATAACTAAACTGTGTGATAAACCTTCTCTTCAGTTTTCTCATTTGTAAATTCAATGATGTGCTACTGTTGAGCAAGCAAGAATGATTGTTGACATGTGAAATGCTGTTTGTAACAGCTTATCAGTTAAGAAGTATTAAAGATTTATTTTAGCTTAATTTATTATTTGGTAATTACTTTTAATTTGACATTTCCACAAGTTTGGTACTGCCAGATGTGCCAAAAAGTGGTAAAGTAGCCCAGTGAGGTCTTGAAAATTATGACCAGGTGTCATGGTTTGTTATTCATGTAAAATCTATACCAATTTTAAATTAATTAAACCCCATACCAATTACCTATATTTTCTATAATCAAGCTGTCAACTTGTGACAACTGGGGGCTCGAGTTGTTGAAAATTGCAGCCCTGGTGGCAGATTCATTAATAATTGGGTAGGACCCTAAACAGTACAGTTTAAGTGATTCCATCCTACAAATGATAAAATTGTTCATAATGGACAATGTTATTTGTATAGAATAACAAATTTATACAAAATGTAACTTGCCAAGGAGCAGATAATAAATCATTTCAAACAAAGGGCGTAAGTGTCAAATAATTATCCCTCAAAAATTACGTCCACTGCTCGGGTGGAAAATTCATATGTAGTTGTGGCTGTCGCACATGAAACATTGTGGGACAAAGAAATTGAGGCTAAAACCGCCTGCCCCAAACAATAACTGATGGTAGGATAGGACTTCAAAAATGAGACACTAGAATTATGATATAAATTTAATTATCATGGCTCACTTCTTGCCAGCCTTGGCTTTCTTGCCTGCCCTGGCCTTGGCAGAATCAGCGCGGATCTTGACAAGCTCTTCCTTGGTCTTCTTTTTGAACACTCCTTCCTTGATTTTCTTGTTGGTAAGTCGCCTGTAAGCAATGGTGCGCAAGTGGTTGCGGTGCTTGCGGACTCTGCGGAGCTTGAAACGGTCAAAGTCGTTCATTTCCCTCCTCTGCAATACAGAAAGTGATAGATGTAATACAAAACTCATTAAACAAATCAATCAACAAACAAATCAATTCAAACAAACAGTACCTTAGCGACATTCTGGACCCTCTTGCACCAGGAGCTTTCCTCCCACTTCTTGCTAATTTCGGCATCCTTCCATGCCTTGCGCACAACTTTGGTTCTTGCAGAGTGAGCAAATGGAATTCTGAACTTTGTAAGATGGAGCTGGTTTAATCTGAGCTCTTGACGGGGAACACCGGACTCTGGTCCATCAACAAGAGCCTGAAACAGCCGAATTGGACAATGAGTAACAAAGAAAAACCAAACCAAACGCAAGTAATGTGAGTGTGAACGAGTGCACTTACCCGAGTCTGGTCGATCACATCCACAATCGCGACGAGTTTGCCGCGGTTGCTGCCATCGGCGACGTAGGCAACGCGCCCGGTTTCCACAAACCGCTGGAAAGGCTGTTGGCACAAAATAAAAATAGTGATCAGGTAACAACGCTGTTGACGCAGAGAGGTTAAGTACACACAAAGTTAACAGTCCGTGTTTTAGTCAAAATAGGTTAAGGGCGAGCACAACAACAGACTCAAAGTAGCCTCTAGGCAAAAGAAACGTAGATAAACAGATCAAAACACTCGTAATATGAAACAAGATCAAGTCTTTAAAAGACCCAATCACGTCGATTTACAGCCGCAAGCGGTATGGCCATGTGGCGAAACCGACTGGGTTGAAAAACAACGTTACCATTTTCTAGTAATACTGGGAAACTTCAACAACTTTTAAAGCTTGAGAGACACGCGTAAATTTTTGAACAAGAAAACTGTATCCAAGGTGCACGGCGATTTCGCTTTCAAATAAATCTTCTCGGAGTTATCAGACCACTCAACGTGCTTACCATTTTCAAGACCGGAAAGAAGAAACTAAAATGGAAATGGCGGAAGGAGAAAAGAGGACTCGTTTGCTCACAGTCGATATGTCGAACAGTGTCACCAACAAACGGAATAAAGCGAAATCAAAGATGTTTCTCCTTTGACTGTGAAAAACATCATTACATATTCACCTCTAAAAAATTTAATTGATTAAATAAAGGTGGTCAAGTTTAAGGAGAAATGTGGATGTTTCGCTAGCGGTTGTAAATCGGCGATCCCCCATTTATTTTTTTGAGGCCGGAAATGAACACAGTGGACTCCTCACCGCCTTTCTCAAATAAAATGACAATGACGAGAAACGGGGGAAATTTTAAATCATGGGGGAAGTTTGGCCCGTTTCGGTCTCCCACTCGGGCATTCTGAATAATGTCATTGAACTGTTTGATAAGCCTACCTTTATTTTGGGTGCATGAGATTTGATAAAAAGAAATGACGTGAATTCTACTATTCTACTTTGCGAGCCGGAAAGAAATGTCAACAAGAAATATGAAAGTATGACGTTGCCATGGCGACCCAGTGGGGGGCGGCAAGGCGGGCGGCTCTTTATGATGCGAGGCAAAGGAAGAAGGGGAGAGATGTGATTGATCAATACCATCTCCCCGCGGGGACTGATAAGTTAACTCGTTACTGCGGAGCCGACAGTTGGCCGGACGAGGCCGCCGGGCGAGGAGCGGGCGGAGCAGGCGGCGGAGCGCGAGAGTGCCTCGCGTTCAGAGTGTTTGTTGTGGTCCGTGCTGCTCGGGGCGGGCGGTAAGTTTGCGTGGTTTGCAGCCAGCACACGACACCAACGGGGGCGGCGTAGCTCTCGTCGCCGGCGCAGGGCGTGGGGCCGCGGGACAGCTCTGCGGGGCAGCTGCGGGGTCGCACCTGCACGGAGAGCCGAGGCCGTGGGGTTTGTTTACATGTCGCCCCTTGCGGCGCGAGGGGGGCGCGCGGCCCGGGTGTGGTCACAACTGGGAAAGGACACCGTTCGGTTCGGCCTCATCAGCACTAGCGAAGTGTGGAGGCCGTCTCAGCGTTTCTTAGAGGAGGACACGCGTTTTGTGTGTAACGTCGTGCAGGCCGAGGAGGTGCATGTGGTCGAGGGAAGTCCCTCGCGTGCGGACGGCGGCGTGCGTGCAGCAAGTGGAGGGCGTGGGCGACTACGCGTGCGGGGTGCTGGGTATGCTTTGGTATGCTTGCGTAAGGCACGACACACCAACATTGCCTGGGTGACAACACGTCCTGGGCACCAGACCAGACACTCGCATCTCTGACTGCTAGAGTGACACCCCTCCACTGTCACCGTCACCTGTTCATAGAATATGTGAGGGGAATAACGCGTAGTTCCACGATTTAATGTTTTTTGTGATGTGAAAGAGCACTACTGAACACACACACCGACTGCACCTCTGTTTGCATAACTCCATGTGAGGAGAGTTTAATTCAAACAAGAACACCAGCTCTACTAAAGATTTTCCGGATTTTCCCCATCTTTGTCGAATACAGAACGAACACAATTAAGTTAATACTATAAGTGTGTATTATGGTGTCCCCCCTCCCCCAACGCACGTTGATTTTCTGCCTGCAAAAAATCGGCCACCTCCTTTTAGAATTGACCTCTATCCGTACTAGGGTGTACTGTACAAGCTAGCGCCCAGTTCCTGGACTGACCCCATAACTGACTACTTCGGTTTACATCACGTTGGAGTGTAACTCTTGAAGTAACTCATCTCCCCAACTAAGAGTAACGGGAGCAGCGCCACCCCACCCTTTCTCTCCTCACTGCTAATTTATGGAAACAGGGGCACGGCGGTCCGTCCGCCGCCCCCTCCCGCGTGACGTGACCTCATCCCCCTCACCCTCCCCCTGCAAAGCTCTCCCCGCTCCGCCCCGACCATGCCGCGATGATCACCGCGCACCGATTCATCGGCACATGTGCATGCATGTTGGCCCCCTTTCTCTGGGTCAGGGTTCCTCCCCCCGCGCCCCCGGGGCGGGCGGGGCAGGCATAGAGGGCGGGGAACGACAGGACAGGCATGTGAAGGAAGCGAATAGGCCAACCGGTCGCGGGCGCGCCTAGGCGGGGCCCCGGCCCCGACGGCACGGCCCGCCGGTCCGGGCCCGCAACACGGCGGGGGCGCGGGCGCGTGGGGTAGGATGGGAAGGGGCGGGGCAGGGTGGGGCGCACGGGGGCGCTTCTGCACGGGGTCGGAAGCCAAGGGCTGTGGTGGATGGGCATGGCACGGGAGACGGTGGTACGAGGGGGGGGGGGAGAGGAAGGAGGGGCTGCAGCCCACCCCTTCCGCCGCGCCCCGCGCGCGCGGGCTTGCGTGCCGGGCCCATCACGAGCATTAAAATGACAATGTATATACCATGCTGATTTATCTGACAGGATGTAGTTTGCTTTTTATTCGTGTGCGATTGGCTGCTGCCATGGACTGGGTCAACGTTACATATACTGTGCGCACGCGAGATGAGCGTCCGGGCTGCAACTGTCAGAAAAAAAAATACAGTAAAAAGTACAAGGAAATAATAGTTCAATTTTGTTTTTTAAGGTGCGTCCCTATATGCTCACGCACGGGGTGCAGGCGCAGGAGCGCCCAGCATGAGACTCTTTGTTAAATATTCCTGTACCCCGTTCACCGAATGTAAAATTCCGTAATGCAGCAAGTACGCGGACCGCCCTTTTAAGTAAAATGACCAATCTTACGTGCTTTTCGTCTTCTCCTAATGTGAGACCCGACAGGACGATGTCCCGTTCCTCAGGCCGTCATCAGGCAGAGATACCTCCCTCAACTTACCCAATTACCATGTCAGCCGAGATGACACGGCAAACTACGGGCCTCGGGCCTCGGCGGGCGGCCTGCCGAGAGGACAGGACGGGGCAGGACGCACCGGGGAAGGAGGGGGGGGGGGCAGCAGCGGGGGCTCGGTATCCGAGACATTACCTTGGCGAAACGGTGTTGCACCAGCAGCGCGCCACAGCAAAGGTGTTCTATATCTACAATTCCCCCCCCCCTACCACCACCACCACCACCGCGCGACCGGAAATGGCTGTTTTCGGCACAGATAATGTTGTTGAATCACCAACAATGCCAACAATCCTCGTTGGTCGCAAAGTTCCTGATTTTGTGCATGAAGTTTGAGCCAACTCTGGTCAGCGTTTACGCACCTTACAGGTCCCCAAAAGCACCCAGGGGGATTCCCTAACACTCGGGCCCTTTGTATCGGGCCATGGCAATGACACTTCATGTCCTTGACTGAATGGTGGGATCACGCTGCTCGCGGCATGCCCAAGCCCAGACCTCCATTGGCCTGTCATCCTTTCATCGCATCAGGGGGGTGGTGGTGGAGGG